CTAGGCCATTCTATGATTCTATGATTAACTGTAAGTGCTTTAATATTTTGGTAGACTTGAGATTGGAGAGGGTAAAGTAGAAGACTGGAAGGTGTCATCAACTAATTTCAATTAGTAGTTTGGTAACTGTGATTCAGTTATTATTGAATTGTTACTAATATATGTGTGTTTGTGTAGGCCAGAAGCGAGCATCCAAGCGAGGAGAGCAGCAAGAGTTCAATAACAGAGGAGCAGAGGTGAAACAAGACAAAACTGGATGGAGACTATCTTTCAGGGAATACCGTTCCTATGAAACAGAAAGAGAAACAGAATTCACAGTGGAAAGGTATGTATGATACAGAGAGAAGTAAGGTGCCCTCTCAAAGAAGCACCTTACTGCCTGCTGAAATTTCTGAAGATTTGCCAGTTTTATGTTTTATTTAACTTCTCTAATGTTTTCAGTGTTATCAATAAACAGCTGAATTTTCTGCCTGTTATTTGTAATAATTTCCCAAGCTCAGTTTTTGTCTATTTTTAATAACAAAACTAATGCAACTAGCATGTGCTGTGTAAAGATGCTGTGTAAAATTGTACAGAAGCTCTCATGAACTGTTGTCTCCCACAGTTGTACAAATACAATCATACAAATTTTTTTTCCTCCTTGTTAACTGTTCCGTAGGAATGAAAATCTGACTAGAAAGCTTGACCGTGAAAGGCTGTTAAGAGGTCGTGGCAGAGGAAAAGTTGGAATACGGGGTAGAGGAAGAGGTGCTGCAATAAATAGAAGTTTGGATGGCTTTGACCAAAGGGGAAAACGTGCATTTGAAAGACAAAGTGAGAATGATAAAACGTAAGTGTTCTGTGTGCTGCTTCTTACTCGAATATACAAATAAACTGCAGTCAGCACTGCAGTAGTGTCTTTTAAATCTTCTGTTCTCTTCTTCAGTATCCAAGTTGTCTGGCAAAAAATCAATACTGGTTTTGGTTTGAGGTCCTAATGAAAAAAAAATCTCTTGAACCCACAGAACTGTTTCTCTTCTCTAGGGGAATGAGAGTGGATGAGCAAAAGAAAGGAGGTGTAACTTGCAATTGGGGAACATTTAAAGAAGATATGAGGTACAACATATACTTGTGCCCACCATAGATCATAATTTTCCATTGCCTACCTTAGTTCATCACTTTCTGTTCATTACTTTTATGTCCAATTTGAGCTTTATAAGCCTAGCTTTCTATTAATTATTGTGATGAATGTACTTTTACAGTTTTCTGAAATTATCTACTTTATGTATTAAATTCTAGAAGAGGCATGGTGATGTTTCTTCACTTAAGACTGCCAAAATCTTCTGACTGGGGCCAAGTTGTCTTTTAACGGAAATAAGTTATGACTTAATCTTAAGAGTCTAGTAAGTGTGATTGTGGTATTTAATGGCATTGCTACAAAGTGCCAGTTAAAAGATTGACACTCTCTTAGTCGGCTTATAATCCAGTCTCTTTTTCTCAAGTTTTATGGATAATTTTTAAATTACAAAGCTGTGGCTCTGGAGATTAAGACTTAGCTGACTTACTACTGAAATACACTTTAAAATGTACAGGAGAATCGGTAACAGAATATGATGCCTTATTAATCATCAGATTTTAAAAAAAGAAAAAAATGTGAATTTAAAATTTGTATTTCTTTTACTGGTTTCTGTTCAGATCTGCAAAAAACTCACTGGAAGTTTTCAACTTTTGTCTATCCTTTGCACCTAGCAATATGCTACTCTTCCTAGTAATTTTTGTTCTTATATACATCCAGAACCCTTTAACTGGAGGCTGATAGGGGCAAAGAAAAGGCATCACTTTGAACTTTAAGCAAACCTCTTTGGCCATGTATGCATTCATTCACAAAACTGGATTCAGGCGATCTGGCTAAAAAGATTGGAAAATACAGCCTTGATGGGTAATAACTTTAGGACTTGATATTCCAAATTCTTCTGAAAAGTTGTACTAACTTCTGTCTCTTCTGTAATATCTCATACTAAAAGTAAAAGGTTGGTTAGGTACTCTGGCTTTTCAAAACAAAGGATCAGCTAGATTCTGAGATGCTAGTGCAAAATTAGCTTCTGTAGGATGTCAGAGAAGGTTTTGTGAACTTCGTGTAGGACATAAAATTTAAGATCCCGTATGTATATTCTTTCTAGTTAAGGTTTTGTTATGGGTTGTTGGGTTTTTTGGGTAGCATCAGAACTTATGATATAAATATGAGATATCAGTGTTTTCTTGTTATGTGGTGCCTGTGATAGAAGTGACATTAAATTAAAGTTGTCTAAAAAATTTTAAAAGCATATCCGCGCCTTAGTTGTGTTTAGTGGTACATTGAAGCTAGAAGGTGTTAATTTTAGATCTATGTGCCCGCCAGTGGAATGAAAGTAAGTATGCTGCTGCTCTCATTAGGCAATGAACTAATGTCCATGTGACAGAAAATACAAACTTGAGGCATTAATTTTATCATTTTAGTAGTTGAAAGGAAACAAGAAGGCAAACGCAAACATCAGTGATATACTGTAATCGAGTACTGTTATTAGTATTCATGATTGAATTGTTTTGTCTTCATGCATGCTTTTTTTTTGTTTTGTTTTGACTAAAAGTGCTCAGAAGTGGGATTTTCCTAACACTTCTCGTTTTGTCAATCTCTCAACTAGACACTTGGTATATCTCCTTTCTGCTTATAATCCTAGAGGAGAGTTGTTCTGTTTATTTTTCTCCTGAGGAATTTTGGAAAAAGAGTGATGTATTGGTCTGAAAGGTTCTTCTCCAATGTGACTCGTGAAAACTTTTTATTGTTTTTTTTTTGTTTACTGTTTTAGTGGAGTAGAACAGACTGCTGCTATGGAAGAGGCTGCAGAAACAGCTGAGCGGCTGGGGGCATCTGAAGGAAAGCCTGTGAACAAGTATGGTCTGACTGAAATGTTTTCCTTCTAAATGCAAAGAAACCAATCAACTGTTACTGATGGATTGGAGGCACACTTGAAATGCAAACTGTGGAGTTTTGCTAGTGCACATTTAACAATAGAAGAACTTTGCTATACTTACGAGCCAAGAAAATGCATCCCTAATCCTGACTAAAGTCTGGTTTATATAACTGCCTCTTGCGTTTAATTGCCTGGTGATGCTTACCTTCCTAAAATGTAGTGATAATTTATGGAGGAGCTACATACTGTCTGTTACCTTTTTAATTTGACTAATTTGTTAAAACTACCCTTCTTTTTGAAGTTCTCTGACAAAAAGATATTCAAGGTGCCTATGAATTATATGAGCACATTTGAAATACACTGAGATAAAATTCTTCAAGTCAGTATTCATCATCGCTAATACCATACAGTTGTCATCTGTTCCTGAAGGCCCTCTGTAGAACTTGAAAAACTTGCTGGAAATGGTCTTGAAGTCAGCCTTAGAAGTAGGGAAATTGAGAGAAATCTGCTCATCTTCTGGCTTTCATTCTGATCAGTGAGAAATTACTAAGTCAGCAAGAATTAACTTCACAGCAAAAAGGCACTGACTTAGAGAAGAGGACAATTTTGTCCCAGTAAGAGTCTTTACAGAGTAATCAAATAGCACATCACTGAATATCTCCTTAGGAGTGAAAAAGGGTTAGAGCAAAAGTTCAGCCTTCTCTTCTGTTGCTGTGAAGCTGTTTTTACTTAATGATGCAGCTCCACTTATTAGTGACTTTGGTTCATTTCTTAATCGTAAAGCTGACTAGACCACAAAACCTGCTTTATGTGCTCAGGTTGTATAACCCTGTAAGAAGTTGAGTTGATATGACTTTGATTCTTATTTTGAAGTAGCATTTAATATATAGCTAGAGGTGTGTGTACATGGGGAAATCTGTCTCTGAAGTTGAATGACTATGATTGGATTTCCAGAAAACTGTTGCTAGACTAAATTAGATAAGATGGGTAGTGTAGATAAGCTCTCAGAAATGCACTGCATTTGCTAAATGTGAGAAGAGTTATTCAATATTTTTGGTCAACGACTGGTACCTTTACTTGTTTCAGACTTTTCTGCTCTGGTTCAGGCTCTTTGTAGATGTGTCCTGACATCAGTGCCTTCTAGAGTGTAAGGCATGAGAAGTACATGTAGTGGAAAAGGCATCAGATAGAATCTACCAGTTTTCTTTAATTCTCTTCCCTTGTCCTGGTTTGAGCTAAATGAAACTAATGCTGTTCAGTGATTTTTACTTTCCAGCTCTGCCTCTTCTAAAAGGCTGCACTTTCTGAAGTCAGCAGCATGTGTTTGCAGACAGTGTGTGCTACTGGCAGTGATAACCCCTGATGTTTGCAGTCACTGCCTGGGACTGGGATGCAGAAAGGCTCTTGCTGATACTTATTCCTGTAGTGACCAAGGCCACTGCTGGCTCTTGTGTGCCACGCTAGGGGTGCCGGGCAGTAAGAGGGGTAGCAAGGAAGTAAAAGGTTGCACCTCTAGCGGGTAACAGACAGGACAGGTGACCAACAAGAGTATTCCATCCCATATACGTCATATTTAGTATAAATTGAGTGATCACGAGAGTTTCTGCCCCTTTTTCTGCAATGGCCGGTGTCCAAGGAGGGCTCTGTCCGATCTCCTGCTTTTGATCCGGATCCTGAGTTCCCGAATCCAGCTCCTGCCGCCGCTGAGCCTGGGGCTGCCCCAGTGCCTCCTGCTCTGCAGCACCAGTGGGGATTGATACCCGAGGTGGAGTCGGGTTCGATACCAAACTTACATACGGCGGTATATAATTCTTTTATAATTTCACTATTATTTCTCTTATTATTTCATTAAAGCTGTTTTATTTTTCTTTCCTAACCTGGATGTCTCTCTGCCTCATTCCCTTTTCCTTTCCATTTGAGGCCAGAGAGGGGGTTGGAAAGCATCTGTCCGCGTTTTAGTGGTCAGCCCAGCCCTAAACTGCAACATCTCTTTCTCAGAGATGACTAGGTATTTGGTCAGACTGTGAACCTTTCTGCAGGTTTTACTCCGTGTTTTACAAAAAGGTTTCTTTTAGAAATAGTACACTGAAATCCGTAAGATTCAAAAATGCAAGGAAACTGCAAGTACAAAAATTTTACATTGTGCACTCTTTTCAGTGTGGCAGATATTGTCCTGAAGACTCACATATCTATATAAAAAGTACTAATTACATGTGTGTCATTGCACTTATCTTTGGGGTTATATCAGCTTGGTGACTCTATGTATTTTAAAATAGAAGGAGATACTAGGTGAGTAGTGCTTAGGTAGTTAGGGGTGGTTGTATGGCATACACCTTAACAAGGTGGAATTATTTTTGTTGTTCTTTCAATATTTAAAAGCAAAAGCTGGAGTAATATGGTTTTCAGGTTACAGGATGTATTTTAAGGGCTTGTATGCTTAGATTGCACCTGCTCTCCAGGATTTCTGTCTTCTGGCAAGTAACATACATCAGCGAAAGATTTTCACTAGGCTACCTACTGCTTTTGCCACAGCCTCAATATTAAGGCATTTGCTCAGATACTGCTGGAATTGTTCCCTTTTTTGACTCTTAAATGCAGCAACTCCAAGGAATTCGTTTCTTTTCTACTGCTTTATTACGTGTATTGAGGAAGAGATGGAAAACTTGGGTTTGCTGCTTCTCTCTTTCTCTTTTGCATTTTAACTGTTGCCATTTAAAAGAGAAAAAAATAATATTCCTGGAAATTGGGAATAATCTGTTTGCATGGAGATACTGTCTAGGTATCTGCTGTGGTACTGGCTAATTTCAGTGCAACTCCAGAAAGACATCTATGGGTTTCTGTAACTTATGGGGTCTTGCATTCAAGACTGCCCCCACATTGCTGTTCTTGAGCAGAACATGAGTTTTTTCAATGCTTCTGTAATATAAACCAACTTATTCCTTTCCATATCTTCAAATTTCCTTGAGTGTATCAGCAATATCTATTTATAGTGTTCTATACTGCACGCTAATAGTTGGAGTTGTTTTTGCTGCAAGTAGCAAGTACAAAATATACATTAGTATATTAGTATACAAACTGTAAGTACATGAGCTTTCCTCACAGCTGCTTTCTCTTAAACTTTTCTTCACAGTCTGAACAATGTAACACACTTGTGTAGAGTGGTAATTCAAATGAATAGATTTTTCTTTTTATTCAGTATGACACGTAGGCTAATCAATTCTTGTCAAGGGTATTTGCAGAGTTAGTATTTATTCTGTGGGGTTGTCTTCCACTACTTCACACAGGACTTTGTTCCTTTTTGATGGAGTTATGTATTCTTCTGGTCACTTAATACGAAGTTTGCAAATTTTGTCTTCAAGTTTGCTGAGCAATTTACCTCTCTCGTTTAGGGTTTGTTTTTTTTTCTTAATAGTGACATAAAGCTATCCATAGACCAGGCTGGATTCATGTTACCAATTTCTTGATAAAAGCTGAATAAAACTTGGTTTGTGCAGCTGAATAATACAAAAACTGATCCAAAAGACCTGCTATCATTAAAAATAATGACATGAAAATAATCAGCTGAAAAACTGAGCTGAATGCTGCCTTTTCCATTCACGTTTCTTCTGCATATTAATGGTTCATGTGAGCAGTTCCTGCAAGAAAAGTATGCGCAGCTCTAGTGCGTAGAGTAGCGAGAGTGTTAACAGTCATCGACTGAGAACAGTGAAGCAGTAGCAACCATTGCTGAAGGCTTCCATTTGATGTTTTGATATATGTACTTGTGTTGTGAATTCCATTCATTCCTGTCCAGAGGCTGCACTTTGGTGTCCGGCAATATTTTGTAAGTGTGATGCTTGATGTGCCAAGGAGCATATTAACTTGATTAATGAAAATGCACACCAAGCAGTTACTAAAATTGTATAAGCTTGGAAGGTAGAAAGTAATGCACAGAGTGCACTCCCATGCAGGCTTGGTGCCCAAAATCAGCCGCTACAATCGAGTCTCTGTCCAAAATGTTATATGCAGGTTCCTCCTGTTGCTGTCCTTCACTTATGGGAGCTGCTTCCCCTTGAGGGTCTTGGCATCTAAAACTAATTTGTACTGCTAATAACCTAATGGTTGAAACTGTCCTTTGGAGTAAAAATCAAACTGTACTTTGCAGTTGAAAAACCAAATATTTGCAGTGTAAATCCACCAGTATTACCTTTGGGACAGGCAAGTGGTTGTTCCTGATAGACGTATGCTTTTCAAAGCAATACCTATGATTGTTACTGTGAGAGGTGAAGTTGATGTGTAGTGAAATGTCCTCATGCCGTCTTATGATCGTAGAAATTTAGATTTTAAAGTGGCCTTGCTGACCCAAGGCCTGACCAACCATACTTGTGCTGCTTGTCTAGTTGGTTTTAACATTCCTTGATGGTGTTTCCAGTACTTTGAAAACAGAAACTACTGTGTTTGGGTTTTTTCCTCCTGAGTGTCTTCCCTTAATGTCATGGATATGCAAAATTTTCTTTCTTTTTTAGCGCTATCTATGTTTCCTCCTCGACATCTCTTTAAAGGCTACCCATGTAGATCACTTATTTTAAACCTCTTATCTGTCTTGCAATTCTATTTTGGACTTTCTGTCTTTTAACACGTAGAAGACATTGCTCTGTTGAGACCTTTTTACATCCTACCAGTAGTGGCATCTGTTCCAACCAAAATGGTTGATGTGTCTCCTTATACTAGTATGCTGTTACTTTAGAGTTCAGCTTGTCTGGGTTACCTGCAGTACTTTTGTACAGTTTGGGGAGTTGAGGTCCCTCCTTCAGAACTTCTACCTTGCTCATTGTTTTTTCTGTGTTTCAGTGGCTGATACTTTTGCCTGGGAGTATGTATTTCTGATTGTCCTTGGGACTTGCTGGTGGTGGTTGTTTTGGTTGTCTGTTTTCAAATGGCTTGATTGCTTTAACATCTCGTGCCACTGGTCAGCTTGTCAGTATGTTGAACATATGTGCTATTGCCCTTTTTTTTCCAAAGCCTTGTGCCACAGAAAATGCAGTAAATGTATTATGTATTGCACTGCAGATGACTGCACAGAATTGGCCTTAAAGCTCCACTCAAATGCTGTTTTTTCTTCTGCAAATTGAAAAATTAATAGCTACTTCTCAAGTACTTGGTGTATCCGGTTCTGTGTCTTTCTACAGCTCTGCCAAGGACTGAAACAGTGTCTCCTGAGGGACACTAATATTCTGTAAACTTAGTGGGAGAGGAAGACAAAAGTCTTCCTGAAGTTCAGATATGCAATTTACTGATTCTATCCTAAAGTAGTGGCTTAGAAAGAAATTAAACCAATTTAGCAGTGTCTCTTTTTATTACTTTGTTTACCTTTTTTTTTCCTCTGACTGTTTGCAACTAGTCTTTCTGACACCTATTCCCTGAACTAAAGTTTGGATAATTGATCAAAAAAATTATCTGGCTTACTCTTGAGGACAACAAACTTGTGGGTGCAATTGGTTGTTCATGCTGTCACACATAGAACAGTATCTGGTGGTATTTTTCCAGAAGCAGCTGCATCTTTCACCAGTATCCTTTTATTAGTCAACTCAGTAAGCTGTTTAACTTGTTTCTCAACAGTCCTTCTAATACAGTTTCAGATCGTCTTAATCAATACGGAACTACAAGTTAGTTACCAGTCTTTTAACCTTTAACTTCTGGTTAATACAGCTGGAATTTTCAAAATAACATGGCATGAAGGCATGTCAGAGGTTAGACATATACTACAGGACTAATCAACTCTGTATTTACATTGGAAGAGTCATCTGCATTTGGTAGAAGACTTGGGGCTGCGGTTGAGTGAGGAAAAACAAATCCATAGTTCTCCCACCAGAAGGTACCTAGTGAAAGGGGTTTTTGGAAGAATCAGTGTTAGTGAAATGCTTAACTAACTTTGCTGTTGCAATGCGTAACAGGTTTCTGTGGAAGAAGAGGTTTCTGAAGTGTCTGTCTGGGAGTGCAGGTTTTCCTGTAGTTTGTGGTATTTTACTTGTTTCTGCAGCAAACAGTTATGGCGATGAAGTGAGTTGTGCTCCTTGCATGTGATGCTTCTTAGTAGGGAATCAATTTCTGCAAATACCATTAAAAGGTACACCTGTGGTGTACTCCATTAGCCCCTGGTCTTGGGCAAGTCACTCTTGTTCAGCATCAGAAAAAGTGTCAGAAGAGTAGTCAAGCAGTGATGAGAAGAATCTTTAGTTTTGTTTTATTGTCAAGGGTTAGGGTTGGGCCAGGTGCCAAAGGACTTCTCTTATAAATACAAACATAAAGCCTTGGATATTTGCACCTCAAATATTTGCAATGCAGACACCAATGTAATCAATATATCAATGTAGTCAGCATATCATCATTATTACACTGAGTCAACTTAAAACTGGACTAGGATTAATCCGTTTTTGCCAGGTGATAAATACTGTCTCTTTGTTTGCTATTACATCTGACAAAAGAAATGAAACAAGCATCTTATGAAACGTAACAAATGAAATGTCAATAATTACATAGAAGATCCCATGGTGTGATCATGATGATTTTGATGGCTGAAAGCTGCACTGAAACATGAATCCTGCAGTATGAGTCATTAAAACCATGCAGTTGGGGTGTTCTCAAACTGCTCAGTATGGTGAGGGGTTTTTATTTGCTTTTTTTTACTCTGGCTATATTTGCTAGAAGTAAATCCACTACTGAACAATAGGGTTGACAGTACACCTCATGAAAATACAGACTGGTTTTATCTGGAATCTGAAGTGCTTGAACTTACAGTAAGACAGAATAAATACCAGAACTTGCTACAGGAGGCTGGAGACAGCATTTGTTCATACAACTAATCTCAGACAGGCCATATGTACGTTTTTCAACTTACATTAAGGCAAACCTTGCACATCAAATTATAGTGGGGAGTAAGTGAAGTTGAGGATAGTAATTCAGTGAGAAACATTCCAAATGCTTTGTTTAGTATCCTTACTTTAGAGATTATTGGTCTTGTTCATCCTGGCATGTTGCAAGCTAATGATTTTTACTTTAATACTATAAACCTTTAGAGATACTGAAGGAGAGCCAATGGAAGAAGTAGTTCAAGAAATGACGTTAGATGAGTGGAAAAGTCTTCAACAACAGAATCGACCAAAGCCTGAATTCAACATCCGGAAGCCAGAATCCACTGTTCCTTCCAAAGCAGTGGTGATTCACAAGTCAAAATATAGAGATGATGTAAGCATTGCCTTAGGAATTCTGTAAACTCTGCTTTATGCCCAGGGTTAGGAAACTCTGTCTATTCTTTTTCTACTAGTTTTAGTATAATCTGAACAGACTAGAAATCAGTATCTGAGCTTTGTTACTGTAATGACGTATGTGCCCCAAAACTTGCTTTAAACTTACCATCTTCTCTGAAATAATCACCCGTTTTGTATGCAAATACATAATATACCAAGTTGCTTTACCTTATGGCTCAGCAATATAAAACCCATGTCCTTGCTGCTGCCAGCTATGTAGATCTCTGGTAATGCTGCTAGACAAACTAGGTTTACTAAATGGTTCTAATCCTTATTTTGAATCCTGTTTAGCTTAGTTACCAGTATACACTTGCATGTATATATTAAACTTGAGTTTTGACATCTGTTAATCTGGATGCTAGGTGTCTTGTTTCTCATCTGTGCTGGATCGCAGCTTTCACTGTGCGCTTCATTGTGCGCTTCATTGGAAGTGCACTTAAACAGAAGTAACTCTGAAAAGCTTGTTCTGTACTAATATGCTTTTTCCCCCACTTTTCCTTAACTTTTATTCCACAGTATTACTGGGATTGACACTTCAAGGAGAAGTTCTAGCCTATTCATGTGACTGGAGAGAGAGGGAAGGCTTCTTTGACAAATTCTTGCTTACTTAGATTTCAGATTTTGAGGTCACGGAAGTATGTGCTAGACTCACGGAACTTTGGTCCTATATAAGTCCACATGCATGCATATGAATATGCATATCACCCTTTGCCTAGTTGTAATATTAACATCAACACTTAGAGCTTTTTAAGCTTTAATCACTTTAGATCATTGAGCACATCCAGGGATAGACACTAATACTGAAGCGGCCCGTGTCCTTTGTAGCATGGCTTTTGGTGGTCACAGTTACCATTATCTCCTCTTCCTTCTCTGAGGGAGATGGTGGTAGTGGTGGGGAGAATATCTTTCAAAAGGTCTGAAGAGAGTATGCAAGTGTGTGAAGAGTCCATATAAGTTACTGTTCTTCTTTGCCTGTAAATTTTCTTGGCTGGCAGTATCAAGGGACCTTGTCAAAATGAACATAAAATAGGAGGTACTGGAACTGTGTAACATGCACAAGTCTAATCCCTGTATTAGACATTGAATAAGAATTTCATCAATATAAGGGGTGAGTTTACATGTATGGTCATTGCTACAGTGCTCATTAAAAATTATAATGGGAAACAGTCTTATACCCACTAGCTACTAGGACTACACATAGGTAAAACAACAGTAATCTCATAGCTGCAGACAAATGGACTAATAGATTGGTTAGTAGCCAAATACTGTGCTTTCCTATGGCCTTTTAACCATTATTTGAAGATAATTGTAAGAGTAAGTGGCTTAAGCCTGATTCTCCAGTCCCTTAAAAAACCTTGTAGATGGTATTGCTGAAAAACTTCTTCAGTGTTACAGAGCTGGTATAGAAGATTTTGTTGCCAGGACTCTCTGAGCTGCCAGAGAACATATCCCAGGCATCTGGAAAGCTGCAGTTGCCTCTCAAGTGTTAAAACCCTGTGCAACCTAAGGCCTGTCTTCTGTTCCAGGTGTCATCTTGATTTATTTGCTGCTTAGCCTGTAATACAAATGCACACACATTTATGTATCAGAGAGGAGAGAGGGTTGTATGTGGAATCTATAGGTTTTAACCAGATACTTTTAGTTGCAGAAAGAAGACTCTGAAGATGATTCTCATGTCTTTCGAAGACCAGTGAACGACATAACTTCACAGCTGGATATTAATTTTGGGAGTCTTTCTCGCCCTCGTCGTGGATCAAGAGGAGGACGAGGTGGTCGTGGTTGTGGCAGACAAGTTGATGAGACAGGACCTCGACCAGTAGTGGTGCTAATGTTTTTTAAGTTGTTATTGGGGGACTTTTATGGTGTGGGGTGCGTAGATGTCTTGCTCCCTTTTGTGTGGAATTACTGACTTCTCTAGGGACCGACTTGTTTCTAATTCATCTCTCATAGTATGCTGGCCTAATTATTTTCAGTTGCTGACCCATATCATGTTACTTAAATATGGGTTCACAACTCTTAACACATATATTTCAAAAGGTCTGATTGCTTGTTGCTGGAATAATAACTAGAAGAAAGGATCCATAAAAATATTAGAAAAAGCTTTTTCAGTGTGAGGGTGACAGAGCACTGGCAGAGGCTGCCCAGGGAGGTTGTGGAGTCTCCTTCTTTGGAGACTCTCAAAACCTGCCTGGACGCGTTCCTGTGTGACCTACTGTAGGTGATCCTGCTCTGGCAGGGGGGCTGGACTAGATGGTCTTTTGATTCCAACGTCTGACATTCTGTGAATCTGTGATTTTTGATAACTTGGGAAGTAATTGAAATGACTGAAGGCTTATATCACAGAAAGTTTCAGTGTAGTACAGTAGTCGTGCTTTGATTACTGAAAAATCAATAAATCTGGGATCTGACAGATGAGGACAGAATCCTACAGGATTCTACAGAACAATACAAGCGTTCAACAGTAACCATTACAAAAACCTTCTACTGACTTTTTCTCTTAAAAAAGCATTTGCACACTGTAAAATGACATCCTTATTTTTCTTACTAACTGAAGGTCTTGGTGTGCTTCTCTCTAGTATGAGTAAAATACTTTAGGGCTGAGATCTTGCAGAATGATGTGGAAGTGATTTGATGCTTTTATTTCATCTAAATGAAAAAGGCTCTTTTTAGTAACAGAGCATAGAGCTTAAAACTGTAATCCAATATTTACAGTAACTTCAGAATGTGGAAAGATAATCAGGCTTATTCTAAAAACAGTACTTTGGGGAGGGATTGCTTTACTGTTTTTCTTCAGCACTGCAGCACTTGTGATCTTCTGTTCCTCCCCAGGCAGTAGATCAGCATTGTGACTATGTTCACACAGAAGAAATCTTAGTAGTCAGATAAATGCTTAGCATCTCTGTGATAGTGATGGATACAAAGTATTTGACTTGAATGGAAAAATGAACCTGTTTCAGGATAAAATAGATGTACGTAGCTGTCAGATGCTTTTGAGATGCATTCGTGTTCATAAAGCTTCCTTTCTTACTTTATAGGTGCAGCTTGTTGCTCCAAATCCTGATGATCCTGAAGATTTTCCAGCTTTAGCTTGAAGAACTGTCATGAATGGTGGTGTCTCAAAGTAGCTTTGGTGTAGCTGTGAAGAGATCAGTTTTAGGCTGATGTGGATAAAGAAAGTCTGTTTCTAGTAGAAAAGCTGTATGGGGTGATTGCAGCACTCTGTTAATGGAACTGGGTTCTGGAGACACGGGCGGACTGGGTTCCTGTCACGGGTTTCAGTATCTGCCTCCATTTGTGAAAACTGCAAAGGCTTACAGAGCTGCACTTGAAGACTTCACCTGAAGTTCAAGAGTACAGTGTTACAAAATGTGTATATAGAGATTATATCAAGTTCTCTGTTACACCAGGGTGAAATGTACAACATGGTCTGCAGTTGGGCTTCTTCCTTCTCTGTACATTGGAGAGCTGCTTTCCCTGTTTCTTTGAAGTGTATATTTCACACAATCACAAGTTGCAGTTCTTTAGAGTTCGACAAATAAAGGAAAGTGCCCATTTGGTTTGGGGTTGAGGTATTATTATCAGAAGCCAAAGTATCAGATTGAAAGTTTTTCTGTTTGGATGAAATCTGAAAAAAAAGAAATCCAAACAAAACCCACAAAAAAGCGCCCCTAAACAGCAGACCTTACTTGCCCAAAACAGAGAACATGTCTCTAAACATAAGTGATTTTTAAAATTAAGGCAGCACAGATGCTCTTAATGGATAACGAACCATAAGTCTTGCTTCAGTACCTTGATATAATCTGCAATTACTCTGAAGATGTTGAAGGTGGTGTCAAGTAAGAATTTTGAGCTGAAGACAGAACTAAACCGTTAAGAAAGCTTCTAATTTTAGCAGGAGTGACTACAAACTAAAATGTTTCATGCCTTACAGAGAAGTTTGTGTGACATTGGGGATAAGGTGGTATGTTCTTTCTTTGCAGCTTTAACATACTTCCTCACTTCAGCCAGATACCCGAACTTGTTCCCTGACAAAGGGGACACTCAAAGCCATGCTTGGGGATCTGAGAGAAACAAGGAAGTGGTGCCAGAAGTGATGAGAGATAGAATGAAAGGACAACCACACTGGACTTTTTGGGAAGCAGCTGTCAGCCTCAAAGGAGTCCTCAAATGCCTGCTTAACTTGAACTCATTCTTTCAGTTTACTGGGAAACCAGATGAATATAAACCTTTCATTTTTTCCTATTCTCTGCCTTGCTTAGTTTTGTAGCACTTCTAAGCAATCTCCTTTGGGAGCAAATATGGATACGACTTGAAGAAAAAAACCCTGTTTTGCTTTGGAGTAAGCTCTGAGAGTATTCAGAAACTTCAAATAACTTGTCTCAGTGGTAAGGCTTTACATAAGTAGGATATAATGATCCTAGAAAGACTGCTGACTCTTTTCTCTATGCTCCAAACAGATGGTCACAAAGTAGTGCTCCCCTAAGGACTTCTCCTACATTGTTAAATTACAATTGTTAAATTTCCTATGTTGTTAAATTACATAGTTGCTATAACATGAGATTTCAGATTCTACAAGGAATTAACTTTAGTGGCACAGACGCTCTGACGACCTGTAGTAGAAGAATGTGCAAAAGCAAATGAAGTTCTGTTGTCAGAGGAATATGTGCTGCTGCTTTTTGAGTAATTGAAGTGGATGAAATTACATGAATTACTCACATTGTAGAATCAAGCTACTACTTGAAATCTCTGCAGCTTAAGATTTAACTGCCGCTGCTCCTTTAATAGGTGGTTGGATGTTTCTGCCAAAAATAGCCATTTCATGGTTGTGGAACAGAAGAGATTTTGTCTATGGGGATCTTCGAATTTTTTTTGCCTGTCCTTCCCTTCCTGTTCCCTTTATCCCACTGGACATAGAAGAATGTGTCTGAATTTTTATTTATGTATTTTCTTGCAAGGGTGAGTGTGTATGTATAGCTGTGAGCTTCTTTGCAAGGTTCACCCGTTTTCTCTTGGGTTTTGAAAGTGTAGGCTCTTCTTTTACTAGCACCTCTTGTTACTAAGGAAAGCAGTGAAACATTTAATAGCAACCCTTCCTTGTTCTGCTGAAAATTTGAAACCTTTCTGGGCTGCTGGGCTGAATCTGGTATAATGCAGCTCGTTCAGTTCTGACTGTTCTTTGGGAAGGCTGAAAGGATTGTATTGTTTTTCAGTTGGGTTCCTGCTGGTGCAAAGTTACTGTTTAATGTATTTTTCAAACCAGAATGATAAATAGGTTCTTCGGAAAATGCTTTAAAGGACTTGTTGAACTACATCTGTATAATCAGCATTTGGTCAGCAGATTGCTTAAAAACACCTGTTAAAAAAAAAAGGGTGGTTTTCAGACTATTTAATAAAGAACTCAAAACAAAACAAAAAACCCAACCCACCAAATCCAAAACTTTGTGAGAATGACATTTAATGTAGTTGGTTACTGCTTATTAAACCAAAAGTCTTTTAGAGCACCTGAGTGTGAGAGTTTTCTATCTCAGTCTGTCAGACTTGAATATGGCTTAAGAGTTTCACTACTTGATAGCATCTAAGTATGGAGAAGAAATTATTATTTTTAAGCGGTGACAGTGATCCAGTTCCTTTACCTAATGATGAAAAGAGAACTTAGTGAATGTGTGTTAAGGTACCAAAATAGCTGTATCTGTTAAGCACGTCTGCTGCTGTCGGTCATTTCTCGTTTAGTTTTACTCCTTCATGTAAAGCAAATGATAGCAGGTGCAAATGTATACACAAACACTAGTAAAATGTGGCATACATCTTAGGAAAAGATAAAATTGTGTTTCAAATCTTAGTCATGTTAATGTACTACTACTAGGTACTCTGCTGTTTGGATAACTTCAGTGAGTCATCCAGGAAAAATATGTTGAATTTTAGATTAATGTGAGTCGCAGTTTGCAAAGAAAGGAATTCACCTCTCTCCACAACTTGGTCATATGTGATAGTATGGATACTGTTCAGTCTACCTGACTCATACGTAGTACCATGGTACAGGATTGGCAAGAGTCTATTACTATGAAAGTGCCTTTAAACGAAAGAGGAGAGAGATGTCTGTGTTTAACATAACAATACTAAAGAATAACTAAAAAGTCTTAGAAGTAAAAATCCTTAGTTAAAAAAGCAGGTGTTAGTTTATAAATTGGAATTCAAAGTAGTTGAATCCATGGGAGATGAGCTTTCAGCTCTAGTTATAAGAGAGGTGGGAGTATGTGCAGCCTTTGGGCCTAAACCCAAAATCTGCAGCCCTGGTATACCTGTAACATTAAGATTATTCTTACATAATGCTCAACCTTTTTTTTTTTTTCTTACCCCCCCCCCCCCGAGCTGTTACAGGCATGTATGTGCATACACAGACACACATTTATAAACATATAGATTCACAGTATGCTAGGGATTGGAAGGGACCTCAAAACATCATCTAGTCCAATCCCCCTGCCAGAGCAGGAACAACTAGACGATGTCACACAGGAAGGGGTCCAGGCGGGTTTTAAATGTCTCCAGAGAAGGAGACTCCACCACCTCCCTGGGCGGCCTGTGCCAGTGCTCTGTTAACCTTACTGAGAAGAGGTTTCTTCTCAAATTTAAGTGGAACCTCTTGTGTTCCAGCTTGATTCCATTACCCTTTGTCCTATCGTTGTTTGCCACCGAGAAGAGCCTGGCTCCATCCTTGTGACTCTCCCTCTTTCTATATTTATAAACACTGATAAGGCCACTCCTCAGCTTCCTCTTCTCCAAGCTAAAGAGACCCAGCTCCTTCAGCCTTTCCTCGTAAGGGAGATGTTCCACTCCCTTCATCATCTCTGTGGCTCTGTGCTGGACTCTCTCAAGCAGTTCCCTGTCTCTCTTGAGCTGAGGGGCCCTGACCTGGACACAGTATTCCAGATGTGGCCTCACCAGGGCAGAGTAGAGGGGAAATGTTGAAAGTGAAGAAACACTGTCTCATTGTCACTGGCCCAATAGTTCAATGTGTGGAAGTTATCTTTGCAGAAAAGAGTTATGTTTTAGTCATTGAATAACAGGCATGGAATTAGCTTTTCTCTTTCGGTAACATGCAGGGGAATGTACTGAACAGTTTGTGCTTGGAGGGGGAAAACCTTCAGTCTTTGGAGGTAACAACTGTTATACTTTGGCTCTATTACTTAGAGTTTAAGGTGAAATAAATTTACTCTTCAGCTGGGTTTTATTTGTCTGCAAACAAATGCCATTTTGAAGATGTGACGCAACGAACATTGCAGATAGCTGTATCTTCAGAGCAGCTTTAGGTACTGCATCATATTTAGTGGCAACGTTATGTTTGAGACAAACTAGCACTTAACTGAATGAAGTTTTGCTCTCCCTGTTCGGTAACCACTGTGAATATCCATATTCAGTGTTCTGTTGTCTCTACAATGTTTTACAACTAGTTAACAGGACTCAGTAAGTTACTGTCTGCTTTTAGCATTGTTAGTTCCTCAGTAGTTATCTGAATGAAAATACTGAGTTTTTCATAATGTTAATCACCTTTGCCACAGGGTAAAAATAGCAGCGATGCGGTACAGATTTATTCTTCTGGCAAGACAAAAAATATGTTTACGTACTATCATTCAAACACTGACTGTGCTTGTTATTAGTTTGGTTGCATTTCTGTTACTTAAGGATTGAATGCTGTTTTCAGAAGTTTTCCTGGCTCTAGCAAAGACTCTGGACCTTGGAAACTATTGTGGGAAAAGTAAAACCTAGTAAGCTTTTCAAGGAATTTTCCACTGAAGTGAAAGAAGACCACAGTCTGGAAGAAGTCTGATCAGTAGGAGGAAGGGAAAGAACCTCAACAAACCACCATTAAATAATTGATCACTTAAAAAGAGAGGTGATATTTGTGTGGATGAGATGGACAAAAAGCATAGAGAAGCATGACATCAGGACAAATGTCACCTACTGTGAGTACTGAGTGGAGACTGGGCCACTATTCAGATGGTCTCTGTAGGATTTTTTTAGTCTTCTACCCTCCTCTGCCCACTTCCCTACTCCTTAAAACCCTCCTTAACTCTGTTCCTCTGGACATCACATGCATAAGCTGGTGTTTTCTCAGGCAAACCCCATCCTTCATTCCTCAGCAGACAACTGGTTTGTCAGGGAAAGGTTT